GTGAGTGAGTGAGAGAGAGAAAGTGAGTGAGTGAGAGAAAGTGAGTGAGTGTATGAGTGAGTGAGTGAGAGAGAGAAAGTGAGTGAGTGTGTGAGTGAGTGTGAGTGAGTGAGTGAGAGAGAGAAAGTGAGTGGTGTGTAGGTGAGTGAGTGTGGGTAAGTGAGTGTGAGTGACTGAGTGAGAGAGAGAAAGTAAGTGATGTGTAGTTGAGTGAGTGTGTGAGTGAGTGAGAGAAAGTGAGTGAGTGTGTGAGTGAGTGAGTGAGAGAGAGAGAGAAAGTGAGTGGTGTGTAGGTGAATGAGTGTGGGTAAGTGAGTGTGAGTGAGCGAGTGAGAGAGAAAGTAAGTGGTGTGTGGGTGAGTGAGTGAGAGAGAGAAAGGAAGTGATGTGTAGGTGAGTGAGTGTGAGTGAGTGAGTGTGTGAGGTGAGTGAGTGAGAGAGAAAGTGAGTGGTGAGTAGGTGAATGAGTGTGGGTAAGTGAGTGTGAGTGAGTGAGAGAAAGTGAGTGAGTGAGTGAGTGAGTGAGAGAAAGTGAGTGGTGTGTAGGTGAATGAGTGTGGGTAAGTTAGTGTGAGTGAGTGAGTGAGATAGAGAAAGTGAGTGTGTGAGTGAGTGAGAGAGAGAAAGTGAGTGAGTGTGTGAGTGAGCGAGTGAGAGAAAGTGAGTGGTGAGTAGGTGAATGAGTGTGGGTAAGTGAGTGTGAGTGAGAGAAAGTGAGTGAGTGTGTGAGAGAGTGAGAGAAAGTGAGTGGTGTGTAGGTGAATGAGTGTGGGTAAGTTAGTGTGAGTGAGTGAGTGAGATAGAAAAAGTGAGTGTGTGAGTGAGTGAGAGAGAGAAAGTGAGTGAGTGTGTGAGTGAGTGAGTGAGAGAGAGAAAGTGAGTGGTGTGTAGGTGAGTAAGTGTGGGTAAGTGAATGCGAGTGAATGAGTGAGTGAGTGAGAGAGAAAGTAAGTGGTGTGTAGGTGAGTGAGTGAGAGAAAGTGAGTGGTGTGTAGGTGAATGAGTGTGAGTAAGGGAGTGTGTGAGTGAGTGAGTGAGTGAGAGAGAGAAAGTGAGTGGTGTGTGGGTGAATGAGTGTGGGTAAGTGAGTGTGAGTGAATGAGTGAGTGAGTGAGAGAGAAATTAAGTGGTGTGTAGGTGAGTGAGTGAGTGAGAGAAAGTGAGTGGTGTGTAGGTGAGTAAGTGTGGGTAAGTGAGTGTGAGTGAGAGTGAGTGAGTGAGAGAGAGAAAGTGAGTGGTGTGTAGGTGAATGAGTGTGGGTAAGTGAGTGTGAGTGAATGAGTGAGTGAGTGAGTGAGAGAGAGAAAGTGAGTGTGTGAGTGAGAGAAAGTAAGTGGTGTGGAGGTGAGTGAGTGTGTGAGTGAGAGAAAGTGAGTGAGTTTGTGAGTGCGTGAGTGAGTGAGAGAGAGAAAGTGACTGGTGTGTGGGTGAGTGAGTGTGAGCGAGTGAGTGAGTAAGTGAGGTGGAGGTGAGTGAGTGAGTGGAGATGGGTGAGTTCTGGGAAGGGTGGGTAGGTGAGTGAGTGTGAGTGAGTGAGTGAGGTGTAGGTGAGTGAGTGTGAGTGAGTGAGTGAGGTGGAGGTGAGTGAGTGAGTGGTGATGGGTGAGTTCTGGGAAGGGTGGGTAGGTGAGTGTGAGTGAGTGAGTGAGGTGGAGGTGAGTGAGTGTGAGTGAGTGAGTGAGGTGGAGGTGAGTGAGTGTGAGTGAGGTGTAGGTGAGTGAGTGTGTGAGTGAGGTGGAGGTGAGTGAGTGAGTGGAGATGGGTGAGTTCTGGGAAGGGTGGGTAGGTGAGTGAGTTGAACAGGGCTGACACATCCAGCCCTGTGTGCAGAATGTACAGGCACACCAGTAAGGGAGAACTCCGACGCTGTGTCTAACTGGGAGATAGTATCGCCTTGTAAATAATTAGCATTATAAATAAACATCAAGCTATCTGACTCTATCTGTGTCACATGTTATGTGGACTAATATATCAAACAGAAATGGTATCAAACTTCAGATTATCTATTATCATAATCACTTGGAAGTTGTTGATATCTTGCTGTGTGCAAATCACCTACAACATGTCCTACATTCGTTCCAACAGTAATTACACTTCAACATTATTTCAGTGCTTTGACAGGCTGATGGAGGTGATCCTGCAGAAAAACCAGGCCGGCATTAAAACATCTCGCGTTTACTTGCCCAAAATATTGTCTGTTGCCATGGCGAATATCGGGGAGGGTTGGCAGTCAGGGAAGAATTTGTTTGTTCTCCAGTTGGTAATGAGAAGAAGGGATGCCACACACAGTTTGGCATGTCGGACAAACAACAGTGGCATTGGGGAGTTTGGAGGGTGAAGGCAAGGTGCCAATGATATGAGTCCTTTAGGAAAGCTTCCAACCAGAGTTGGCAATATGTATCCTGAGCTGTTTCTATCAAGAAGACACAAAGCCTTTGTTCAGATCGTGCAGGAATACTCTGGGCACATCTGGTAGTGCACCTTAGGAGGAATGCATTGACCGTAGCCTTCCATGTTTAAGGACAGCTGAATTGTGATATAGATTGATACCAACAGGATGGGTTCAATTCCCACACTGGCTGGGGTTACCATGAAAGACTCTCCTTCTCAGTCTCTCCCCTCACCTGAGGCGCAGTGAAGCCTCAAGTTAAACCATACCTCTCTCTCTCTCTAATGAGAGAGCAGTCCGATGGTCTGGTAAAACTATGGTGACTTTACCTTTAGTTTCAGTCTCTCACGTGATGAGGACGTTAGCCTGGGCCCTGGGATTTCTAGCCCCGCTGACATTACTACCAAGCCACCAACTGCCCCTTGGGTTGTGAAGGAAGATTACAAAAAGTTGGATTGTATCTCTCTGAATTTAGATAGTCTAGGGAGACGCTTGGCCCAAGATTTCAAGATATTAAGGTGGACTGATGGGGCAGAAGGTGGGTAACTATTTCTGCAGTTGGGGAGTCTAGGCATGGACTAAAAATAACAGTTGGAGTTCTCAGGAGTAAGAAGAGGAAACACCTCACACAAAGAATTGGAAATCTCCGATCTCATACACAATCTGATTTCTCTTTCATGAGAATGGGTGCCAAGGGGCATTAGTGGCCCGTCTCTAATTGTCCTTGAGCTGAGTGGTTTGCCAGAGGGCAAACATTGTGAGTGAGAGTGGAGTCACATGTAGGTCAGACTTGGTAAGGATGGCAGATTTCCCTCCTTAAAAGGGCATTAGTGACAGAGAAAGGTGAGTTTTTAAAACTTTTTTTTCCTCTATTCATTTACAGGATGAGAGGAGTTGCTGGCTAGGCCAGCATTTGTTGTCCCTCCTGAATTGCCCAGAGGGCAGTTAAGAGTGAACCACATTGCTGTGGGTGTGGAGTCACATGTAGGCCAGACCAGGTAAGGGTGGCAGTTTCCTTCCCTAAAGGATCTTAGTGAACCAGATGGGTTTTTCCTGACAATCGGCAATGGATTCACGGTCATCATTAGGTCCAGATATATATTGAATTCAAATTTCACCATCTGCTGTGGCAGGATTCGAACCCAGGTCCCCAGAACATTATCTGGGTCTCTGAATTAACAGTCCAGCAATAATACCACTAGGCCCATTGCCTGCCCCTTAGCTATCATTGATCGTTGCAATTGTAGTCAGCCAGGTGGACCTCATAGAATAAGAGCTCCCTGATTAGGGCTGTTAACCTGGTCCAATTAGGGAGCCCTGGCTGACAGATAAGAACAGGAGTATTTGAGGTTCTGCTCACTCTGAGAGCTGGCTCTGAGGGAGCTGGATCAGTGTCAAGGACTCTCCACGTGCAAATAAAGGGTGAGTTGGTGACAGGAAACTGGCCTTTTTGAAGTTATTTCAGTCATGCTCACCATCACTGTGAGTGGCCTTTCATTAAATTTACGTACTACCATCTCCACAGTGAGATTTGAACCCATTCGCCCAGCTGATCAGTTCTGAAATGTTGAATTACTGAGGTATTCATTGCCAGAACTTTCTAACAAGCACCAGGACATTGCTTGGCTGGTGGTAAGAGGGGCTCTGCCAGTGAGATCGTTCATGCACGCCCGGGCTCTCTGCGCCACCGCACGCTGCCCTCGAGGTGGCTGCAGGGGGGTACGAGACAGTCTATCACCTCCTTCTGGAGTGTGCCTATGCGCAGGAGGTCTGGAGGGGAATGCGGTGGTTTGTGTCGAGGTTCGTCCCGAGCAGCTCCGTGACCCGGGACTCCGTGCTCTACGGGCTGTTTCCCGGGATGCGCACCGAGACCAACATCAACTGCACCTGGAGGACCATCAATGCGGTGAAAGACGCTCTTTGGTCCGCCCGCAACTTGCTGGTCTTCCAGTTGAAAGAACTAACCCCGGCCGAGTGCTGCAGACTGGCGCACTCCAAGGTCCAAGACTACGTGCTGAGGGACGCATTAAAGCTTGGGGCAGCCGCCGCCAAGGCGCGGTGGGGAAAGACCACCATGTAAGCCCCCTCAGCCGAAATTAAACAGGGGATCTACTCAATAACTGGGCCCAGCTGGCGTCTCCTCCAACGGGTCAGGGGGCCAACTATGACCACGGGTAGAGATGACCACCAGAATTTTTTTTTGCTTTTTTCCTTTAGTTGGTGTGCGTATCCCCAGGGTAACCCGGAGCGGCTAGCATGACCGGGTAGGTGTGCAAATGTGTCTATTTCTTTTGTATATTCATGAATAAAGTATATTTTTTTAAATAAAAAAAAAGTTGAATTACTGAGGCATTACCACCAGTTGTTAACACAACGTTAACACAGGATATGGTACAAGGGAGCTCTGTCACAGGTCACAGAGCAAGATCAAAGATTAAGTAGACTTCCTCTATTCCAACGTTCCCACTCCATCTTAATATGATTCACAGAACTGAGGAGAGACGACCATATTTACAAATGTTGGTTTATTGATTTGAGTGAGTGTCATATAGAAGATTCTAGTCAGAAATATACAACAGATACACAGGGAGAATGGGGGTGGGATGTGGGCTGCTACACTTTAGTTCTAAACAGTGAAACATGCACTTGGGAAAGGCTTTAAGTTTCTTCCTGTATAACACCTCTCAGTCAGTCTTGTAAATGGGCAGATATATAATCACTGCCATCTCACATCACTGGAGAAATTCTTTGAGTGACAATTTCTCTGAAACGTCCTCTCAAGGTCTCCAACATGAGCATCACTCGAATATTAATGCCGACAAACATCTCAACATGATTCTTTTCCTTTGAACTACAACAGGTCTATCTGCAGGGTGATGGGTATTTTTGACCTGGTCACACCCAGTGTCTCAATGTCAAGGTACATCTGTAGGAAAGAAGCAGAGATAGAGGTAACTGTGAAACACTGTCGAATTCCGTGTTGGCATAACCCCAGAAACCCAGAGGCGTAGGAGTATACCCACCTGGCTTCAGTTTCTCATGGAGCGCCTTGTATCATGTGCTCAATGGCTGTTTAAATATTTGGAGGCACAAAGTCCAGTGAAGGACGTGGGTGGCACAGTGGCTCAGTGATTAGTGCTGCTGTCTCACAGTGCCAGGGACTCAGGTTCAAATCCACCCTCAGGCACCTGTCAGTGCGAAATTTGCACATTCTCCCTGAGCTCTGCGTGGGTTTGCTCCAGTTTCCTTCCAAAGATGTGCAGGTTAGGGTGGATTGGCCATGCTAAATTGCCCCACAGTGTCCAGGGATGTGCAGGCTGTGGGGATTAGCCATGGGAAATGCAGAGTTACAGGGATGGGATTGGGTCTGGTTTGGATGCTCTTCAGTGGGGTGGGGTGGACATGATGGGCTGAATGGCCTGCTTCCATGCTGTAGGGATTCTAAGAAGCATTGTGAGAGAACAGATCATTCACCCATCACCCACTGCAACTCCTACATCGTTTTCTAAGTTGAGGCTCCCTACCTAAAAAACACCTCATTGCTGCAAAGAAGGGATAGACAAGAGTGAACAGCTGGGGCTATAGTACGGAGGGCAGAAGAGCCTCAAACTTTTTTTTTGTTGGAAACTTTGATGCAGAGGGGTGGACTTGAGCTGCAGTAAGTCCTTATACAAGAAAGGTTCTGTTGTTATTCGGAGATGAGAGAGATAGGGAGAGATGGCTGGGGGAGGAGGGTCTGCCTCTAAACCAGGGACTCCCACCATCACCAGCAATGTTCAGGAGCTAGATGTAGCAGAACGAAAGGAAATCAGCCAGGAACAGGGGCTGGACGCTCAGACAGACCATGGCCAGAGGGCAGTTTGAGGATGGGGGAGAGTGTGTGCAAAATTCACTCCATTCGGGCTCAATGGAATTAAGGTCATAAGCCACAATAGGCCATTCAGCCCATCAAGTGTGTTCTGCCATTCAATCACGGCTGATATGTGTCTCAGCCCCATTTTGCTGCCTTCTCCCTGTAATCTTTGATCCCCTTAATAATCAAGAAGCTACCCATCTCTGTCTCAAAGACGCTCAATGACTTGGCCTTCTGCAGCAACACATTCCACAGGTTCACCAACTGACTAGCACAACTACAGCATGGTGGCTCAGTGGTTAGCACCGCTGCCTCCCAGTGCCCGGGACCCGGGTTTGATTCCGCCCTCGGGCAACTGTCTGTATGGAGTTTGCACATTCTCCCTGCGTCTGCGCGGGTTTCCTCCGGGTGCTCCGGTTTCCTCCCGCAGTCCAAAGATGTGTGGGTTAGGTGGATTGGCCGTGCTAAATTACCCAGGGCATCCAGGGGTGTGTAAGTTAGATGGGTTAGCCACGGGAAATGCAGGGATATAGGGTAAGGGTAGGGGGGATGGGTCTGGGTGGATGCTGTTCGGAGGGGCAGTGTGGACTTGTAGGGCCAAATGGCCTGTTTTCACACAATGATCTATGAATTTCACCAGCCCATGCAATGCTGATATTCGTACCTCACATGGACCTCCTCATTCCCACCTTCATCGCATTAGCACCAGTAAGATGAGCTGTTAGTGGGTGGTGTGTCCTCAGTCAGACAGTGGCGTTACTCACCAGGGTTTGTGAACACCAGGTAAATCGATAACGCTCGAGAATTGAAGCTAAGGCCACTTTCATCATCATGATGCTGAACTCACTCCCGATGCCCCTGAATGGGCCAAGGCCAAAGGGTAAGTAGCACAGGGGGTCACGAAGATCTCGCTCTTCTCTTGTGAACCTACGCATGTTGACAAACAAAATCAATAATTAGAACTAGATCTGGGAGCAGGAGTAGGCCATTCGGCCCCTTGAACCTGCTCCGTCATTTAATACCATCATGGCTGATCACATCCCAGGCTCAACTCCACTGCCCTGCCCGCACTCCATAACCTTTCAACCCATTAATAATCAAAAATCTGTTTATCTCATCCTTAAATTTACTCAATGTCCCTCTGGGAGAGTGAATTCCACAGATTTGTGACCCTTTGTGAGAAGTAATTTTTTTTCCTCATCTCTGTTTTATATCTGCCACCCCTTATACCAAACTATGACCTCTCATTTTAGATTACCTCCATGCGAGGAAACATTCTCTCTACATTTACTTTATCCACCTCCACTGGCATCTTTTCTACTTCAACTGGATTTCCTCTCATTCTTCTAAACTCTAGAGAGAATGGGCCTAAACTGCTCAACCTCTCTTCATAAGTCAAACCCTTTGCCTCCGGAATCAATATAGTGAACCTCCTCTGAACTGCCTCCAATGTAACTACATCCCTCCTCAAATGAGAGGATGAAAACTGGACACTGTACTCCAGGTGCGGTCTCACTAATGCCAACAGGGGAAATACGAAGTGGGCCATTTAGCGCTGAGATGGGATAACGTTCTTCCCTCACAACGTTGTGAATCTTTGCAATTCTCTACTCCAGAGAGCTGTGGGCTGCTCAGATGAAGAGTACATTTGAGAGTTGGCGTTGCTCTGAATGGCAAAACCAGCCTGAAATAACTGCACGGACACCAGCATCCTATCACCAAGTCACCCTTTATTTACTTGTGCGCAGTACACTGGCTGTAACCAGCCAGCTCGGAGTCAGTCTCCTGATCTGAGGAGACTCGAAATCCCCTGGTTATATCAGCCAGCCTGGGCTTCCTGACTAGTCCAGGTTAACACCCCAATTAAGGATCTCATAGTCAACAAGGTCCACCTAGTTCCAATTACTACATCGCCTTACCCCCACCACCCCCCTCCACCCTACCCAAGTCTGAGGAAGTAGGCCTGGTCTTTCTCTTGTCGTTTTTCCTGCGACATTTTCTCCCCAGGTCCGGTTCCTCTGATTCGGACTCAGACACAAGCAGTGTCTACCAGACCGCAGTCTCTTCCATCTGGAGCACCTCAGGAGAGTTTCCTCCTCTTCTGGCAGTCACCGTACCGAGGCTACATCCCCATCTCAGTCTCCGAAGTTTCCTTGACCCTAGATGGAGGGGGAGAATCTACGGTTTCTGACAGGCTTTCTGGCTGTTCTGAGGCGCAAGGTATGTTTTGCTCCTGCCCCGTTTGCGAGGTAACAGCTTTCAGGTGATCCATGTATTTTTTCAAGACTGCCTCACCTACCCGAAATTTGTAAGTGATGGGACCTGACCTCGTATCAACATCATACCCATACAGGGCCATTTCCATGGTTCCAGCACAAGACTTCATTTCCCTGAATTAAATTGTCTCTCTCGCTTAAAGGAAGCATGTGGCCGGCATTGGAATTCCTGATGT